AGCACCAGGGTTAATGCATTATAGTAGAAGTAGGAAACTTGTTTGTGTACGTTTAACAGTAAAGTCCTGCAAAGAGTGGACTCTGGACAAGCAGGGTTTTCAAGGGGATAAAAAAACTGAAACCCTGGAGTAAAACATCAACATGCTTATAATTAGTCTGGTTTTGCTGATGATTTCTTCCTGTTAAAAGGGAGTTTTTCCTCTCCACTGTCGCTACAAGCATGCTTACCGTAAGGGATTGCCGTCCAATTAGTCGATGCAATCAACTGGTTTTCCTCAGAAAACTTTGAATCAATTTAAATGTATGATCTGGTTGAATCGTATCTCTTAAGTGCCTTGAGATGTGAAGATATATATACATGTTTTAAGCTAAAAGAAGTAAAGAGCTAAGTTAAAGCTGCAGTTCATATGTATCAGGGCAGATTTACAGAACAGAGTGTAGAAAACAACAGGTGCAGATTAGATGGCTGAGAATGACCTTGCTCCGTCACACACACAGAAAAAGCTGATTAACTGGAGCAGAAAGGCAGGAAGCAACCTCATTTTTGGAGATAGGAAGTAGGGAGTATGATCAGTCTGTGTGAAACTGTAAGATTTTCCCCTATGAAGATAATAAAAAGAGCCGGTAATGCAGGGGGGGTCAGAGTTGCTGTTCGCAGATGCGTGCTGCTGATGCTCCTCTCCCTTTGCAAAGGAGAATCGAAGCTTCGTTGTCCAGAATTTTTTTTTATAACATTCTATCTCAGTTAAGTTACCTGCACTCGAATTAACGGACCCGTAGGAAAAACCGTGATAGGGTTTTTCAACAGATGACTTGTGTTGTGAATTGGCGCTATATAAATAAACTGAATTGAATTGTTAAGGATTACCAAAAAAAAAAGAAAAGGAAATCAATCAATATTTTCAATTGGTTGAAAATAATCGCAATTTAGATTTTTGGCAAAATCGTGCAGCCTTACCCTCCAACATCATCCCTTTTTTTCAGTGACGTATTGAAAAGTCATATTCAAATCTTATGCAAGTCAGGCAAAACTGTTGAACAACCAGTGTTCATATGGTACTGGTTTCTGAGCTGAAAAAAGGTCATAACCATAATTTTCCAACAAAGTAAGACAGGGCCTATATATACTGCACAGCTAATAATGTGAAACAAACAACTTAGTGACAGATTTGATCTTACCTCATAAACCTTTTGCAGGTTTCCATTGACATTTTGATGATTTGCTGAAAGTCTTTTAAGTTGGAAGACCTCCCTACCATCACTCTAATCTTAATCTCTCTCTAGAGATTCTTTCTCTGGTTTTTAAGTCTGGTCTCCACTTCAAAATGTTAATTCCAGTCAGAGTAAATATTTTAGTAAAAAATAAAAACAACGAGCTGTTCTTACGTTGTGTCCTGAAGGTTTTCCCACAAAGGTGACACTGGTAAGGCCTCTCGCCGCTGTGTACGCGTAGATGCATGTTGAGGTTGTTCTTCTGGGAGAAGGCGTGGCCACATATGTTACACACAAAGGGACGCTCGTTTCTGTGAAGGAGAACTACGATTAAAGTCGAGTTTCAGTCTGATTAAAACGGAAATATTCAACAATAAATTCTGATATGCATTTAATCAGGTTAAAAATAAAACTGATCGTAACAATTAAACAACAGAATTCTGAGATTAAAGTCAGAATTCTGACTTTTTTCTCAGATTTCTGACTTTAATCTCAGAATTCTGACTTTTTTCTCAGATTTCTGACTTTAATCTCAGAATTCTGCCTGAGATCAGTGCATTGTTTAATTTATTGTCAAAAACAATAAAGCAAAGATAAAAGTGGAAAAAAAAACTACATTTTAAAAAGTCAGATCAGTGAAATAGAAAACAAACTGTGTAAAAATGGTCAAAACGTGAATACAGACCATTTCCCGACAGCCCAACTTGGTGTCTAGAGACCTTCAGGAGGTCCTGACCAAACGCAACCCCCATTACAAATGTGAGGAGGAGTCCCCCCGGCCCTCAGTCATTTATATCCAGCCATGGGTGGTTCTAGACGGGGGCCAGCAGGGGCCAGTGCCCCTGTAGATCATGTCCTGGCCCCTATTATGGCCCCTGTACTGAAGACATGATACTCAAAGAAACTCTAAGGATGATACGCGCTGGAACCGACATGGTTACTGATAGATTCTTCGGATCTATTTAATATTTTTTTCTTTACCAATTCTGTTTTTTACCAATTATTTAAAAACACTAAGATGATAGCTTCAGTGGTATTGAGAAAGGATCCCAGTTTTAGTCTGCTGAAGGATTTTTCCAAAAAAAAAAAAAAAAAAACTTAAATTTTTACAGCTGAATTTATCAAGTTATAATTCAGATTTTATAGAAAACGGTAACTTTGATTCAAATTAAGGTAAAAATATCCCTAAATTATGAATTTATATTGACCTAATAAGACATAGAATTTTAATTAAACCTTGAATAGAAATTTCACTTGATGCAGCTTTCTTAATATATTTGAATCCCTTGCCTTGTTTTTTATCTCATGCTTTTCTGGGCCCCCATGAAAACCCGTTGGCCCCCTCCTGGCCCCCTGGTACATTTGGTCTAGAACCGCCACTGTATTCA